CATCTGGGTCTACCTGTGGGGGCAGCTGGAGACTTTTTCCAGCTTTCCCAGCGTTTTGGGGTCAATGATTTAGGGCTGAAATATGCAGAGGTTATCGGCATTGAGCTACAAAAAAGCGGAGTGGTTCCATGTACCTTTATTTGTTTGATTTCATACCGGATCATTTTGTGGCTATCAAGGGGGTCATCGCTGGCAGGAACCACCTTTTCGCTGGAGATTTTTGCTCTGATCACTGGAAAAGAGAGAGAAAGAGAAAAAAAAGATTTAAATGCGCGTGAGCAGATGCCCAATTTTACAAGGAAAAAAAATGAAAATTGTATTGATGGATTTTGGCGTTGTTTTGACACTTCAGGTACGAGTAGATTTGAAGGATTTTACCATGAGAGCTCCTGAAAACAAAAGTAAGTGGGCTGTCTGTGATGGGAATGTGAATTCCCAAGAGTGTGGAAACCTGATTGATGCTACCACTCAGTTTTGACAAAAGATGTCCATCAAAATCTCTGGAAGACTCAAATCCCATAAAATTTGACAAAATACCCATCATTACAATCAGTGAGCAAAGGAAAGGGACACGACTGTTGATTACAGAATTGTTGAGCCAATAAATAGACTTGAAGTGAGGCCCTGAAAGCCTGTGCCAGGCAAGATGAAAACATTGATTTCATGCACGAAATGAGAAGAATAATCTTATATTCACTTTTCTGGGGTTTAACAGAGCATGCCATTAGTTGTGTTAACCTGTAGAAATCAATTACTTCCTTAATTCATTTCTTGTTCTTTAATCGAGGAGAGTGGGATATTTTGTGAAAGAAGAAATGGATTATTTTCCCCTCCCCTTGTTTGAGGCATCTCTCTTGTGTGTGATGTTTAAAATACACCAGGACTCTTTGGAAAAACTAAAATTAGGCTGAATTGCTTGATGCCCCCAAGATAAATGCATCAGAACACAGCTTGGATTTCAGCTGAGCAGAATTTTGTTTGGCACAACTAAGAGAACATACCCATTTCCTCTTTGCTCTTCAATTTAGTTATTTGATCAGGAAGCACCATCAGAAAAACAAAAGCAATTTCTTTTCTATTCAATTTCTTATCTTCTGGATTAGATGCCTAATAATAATTAAAATTTGCTATGTTTCCCTATACAGGCAAGGCTAAAGAGACAATAAAAAAGCAGAGACATAGGAATATTCATTGTTTTATTGTGGTTCTAAGAATATGGAGCACGGCCAAAATTCCCCTGGGGATTTTATCCCTCCAAATTAGTGAGAATCCCGTTTTTGCTCTGTTTTTGGATGGCCACTGCTGCAGCTCCTGGGTTAGAGCAGCCTGAGTCTTCAACAGGCCTCCACTGGTGAGAATTAGGGAGAAACTCCAAAGCAGCTTCAACACACAAATACAAATTTCAGAGATTTCAGTGTGATAAGAATGGGATTACAGGCTGAAGATAATCACTCAGATTAGATTTATCATTCTTCTTGTTTGTGCTGAGGGAGGAGATGATCTGCATTTCTGTGCTTGTGGACAGACACTGGCAATGCCAGAGCAGAGCAAAGTTTTGTGACATCCAAATCACATCTTCCCCTTCAAAACTCAAATTTTTTCAGACTTGCCTCATTTTTTTCATATTTAACTTAATAGTTAAAGAAAAGGAATAGGAAACCCAGGCTGAAACACAGCCAGGTGGAGATCAGTCCCACCTAACCCTGGACAATTCCCATTTCCTCACTAATTAGCTGAGCAAACTGGATGGAATCATCAAGGTGTTAAATTATGATTAAAATTAATCTGTTAATTATTATTAAAGCTGCAGAGGCCTGCAGCTTCCAGGCTCCATTAAACCCTTCTTGAGGAGCATTTTGGACTTGTTGGGAAGAAAAGAGTTCCTTTCAGTACAAGCATTAATTTGTCCTTTTAAATTCCTCATTTCACATGGAAAGTGGCAGCATCTCTTTAACCATCTGCAGGTGTGAGCAACCCCAAAATTCACTGTGTGCCTGCAGTCTCTGATCTCCTTCCAGGGGACAAGGGCTGTGGGCTGGGAGTGCTGAAAAGCACAAATCAGGATGGTGCTGCTTTGCTTTGAGATGCTCTCCTTTGCATCATTAATCCCTAAAAAAATTAAAGAGGATTTCTCATTAAGGAATCTGTTCAATTCTGAAGGACTGAGAAAACAACATTATTTTCTCAGTGCCATAACTGGCTCATGTGCAGGGAATCTTTTCCTGCCCGCTCAGCGTGGGATAATCAAAACTGTTTTCCCGCCATTCCCCATGTTGAAATATTGTGCATTTCCATATTTTTTATGAAATTCTACTTGTTAGCACATGAGGGGAAGGTTATGGATAATCCCTGATAGCTCCAGGGGTCTCCATGGAGTTGTGCAAGGCTGAAAGTGCAGCGTCCTGGGGTTTGTCATGCAGAGACCTTTTAGTGGGTGTGTGGGTGAAAATGAGAAGCGTTTCTGTGTTGTGTGTGTTTGAGACTAAACTTCCAGATGGCAAAAGAGGAAAAACTGAGATTTATTTTTTTAACAGTAAGGAAGTTTAATAGTTTGAGCTATTTTGGTTTTGTCCTTCCATTCTCCAAACGCACTGAGATCTTTTGGCGCCTATTAATTCTTCTTGGGCTCCTTTTTTTTTTTTTTTATTTTCTGTGCATTAATATTTTTATTTTTTTTTTTGCCATCAGTGTCGTCTGGCTGTCTCCTCAGCCCTCTGATTGATGTGGTTGCTCCTGTTTTTGACCACAAGCATTCCTGCTGCAGCATTCCTGGGCATCTCCCTGCTGCCTCAGGATTGCTCCGACTCTGCACTTCTTGGTTTGGAGCATTCCAGGCCTGGCTTGTGCGAGTGAGAACAGCCTCTGGTCGTTCAGTAATAATGTCATTTTAGCTGTTATTGCTTCCTTATGAGGAATTTGCATCTATGGGATACATAGGCACGGATTTCACATGGCAGCGCCAGCAATTCCGAATGCCCGGGATTCGTTCTGCACTAAAAATGCAGATTTGAACATTTCAGCGGGAGGATGTGGCTCTTCTGTGGACTCAGCTTTGATAAAATGTCATTTTTTTATCCTCACTGAGGTTGTCTCAGGTGACTGAGCTGGAAGGAAATGAATTTGAGGTACAGGAGGACAATGCTCAGCCCTCAGGCCCTCTCCTGAAATGTGTTATGAATATATTAATCCTTCTTTCCTGAATAATAATGATCCTCTCCCAACCATGATAATGATAATAATAATGATCCATCCCAACCATACAGTCAATCAGTAGGAAATCATTCTAAGTGGGTAAAACACAGCACATATTTAGTTTATCATTTGGTATAGTTGTGTTGATACAGTCAGGAGAAAAGTGTCAGGGTTGGTAGAAGACAGCAGGGTTTATATGCAATAAAGGTAGAAAGAGAGGCATTAACCTGGGTGATTTCCTTCTGGAATTAGCTACACTAATTATTACTAATTAAATAACCATCATTTTGTGTGTTTGAGATTTGTGTGATCATGAGGAGCTACTTTTATTACAGATACATTTCCTTACTCTGAGGGAATTAGTAAGGAAATTGAGATTGATTTTACTGCACCACAGTGACAAAACCAATGAAATCTGAAGGGAGAGAAGACACAAGGAACTGAGCAGTCACTGCAGGGCCCATTCCAAGGCACAGCCATGGATGGAATCTGGATAAACCAAATCCTTGACATTCATGAAAAATAATATATTAATATAAAAGATATCAATATTAAAATATTAGACTATAATAGAATAATATTTTATAGTAATATATACATATATAAATATATTAATATATAATATGTTGAAATACTGAAATTAATATATTCCCTAAAAATAATGTCCTTTTTAGACTCTGAGTTATTTCCAAGGCAATAACTGAGGGAAAACTGTTGAGTGAAGAATTACTCTCATTGTTACAAGCTGGTATTATTAAATAAGACATTCTGTATTACAGTATTTAATATTTGATAAAATATTACTCTATTTAAACAAGTGGTGAGATTATCCTCAACAGTCCAAGTGTTGGAAGACAGACAACTCTACTCAGCTAAAATAATCAATTTTACTGCTCTTTAAAAAGGAAAGCAAGTTGGTTTTTACTCCCCAAATAAACTTTATAATCCTAAGAAGCAGGAGGTAAAGGAGAAGAAAAAACTGATGAACAAATGAGATCTTTTCCTCCACTCTCTGTTTAGTACCAGAAACTGCATAGGGAAAAATAATTATTTAGGAAGATATTTAAGATACTGCTGGACATCAGAAGTAGAAATTCAATAAATTAAGAAATTGAGGATACTGCTGGGCATATAACAAGAAAATGTGTTCTATATAAATCCTTAAGTGCATTCTTGCTTTAAATCTATAAATAGATAAATAAGTAAATAAATACAGGCATATTGAGGAAGAATCTGGGTTTCTGTGCCTCCAGTTCACTTCAGGTTTTTGACAGGCTCCACCAGAGCTCTGTGAGTAGAAATGTGATCTCCACCTCCTCTAAGCAGCCTTCCTCTGCAGAAATCAGGAAAATTTCATTCCCACCTCACAAGTTTACAACCACAATCAGCTCTGCCACCAAAACCTTGCAGTGAGACTTCAAAAATTATGTTGGCAGGAAAAGATGTAAGGTAAAAAGATATCATCAAGACTCGTGAAGCTCTTTTTTTTTTTCTCTTATATTTTAAAGGCTCAATTTAGCCCTTTCATTTGATTAAATATAAAATACACAGAGTAATTTTTGGGCACTCCTTTCCACCTGTCTCTTTGGTGTCTGACACTTCAGTCCAGCTGCTCTCAGATGTTCTTGGAGGGACAAGGGATGAAAGGCTCAAGGAGAGGGAGCTAAATGAGAGTGTGTGGCTGTCACATGGTTGGAATGAGGATGGCATCCTCAATACAGATAAAAAGCATCCAAAAATTGTTTTTCTGAAATAGCCAGAGTGTGCAGTATGAAATATAGAAGAGCTATGGACACAGAATATGGATGTGCATCATTTTGAAGGCACTTATATTCAAATTTACTTCTCTCCAGAAAAATCTGTCCCTTGACCAAAATGAAAGCACTTTCATGCACAATATTCAGCTGTTTGTGCTCACTCTTCTGCGGCAAGATTAACTCAGATTTCTATTATCTATCTATCTATCTATCTATCTATTTATCTATCTATCTATCTATCTATCTATCTATCTATCTATCTATCTATCATCTATCTATCTATCTATTATCTA